TTTTTTTTTTGCTGCGTCACAAGTAATCCTCGATTTACAACTTGATCATTGTTTTTTTTTTAAACAATTTTATTGTTTTTTTTAACAAACAAACAAACAAACAAACAAAACATAAAAAAATCAGCTCTCGTCCGTACTTATATACAAACAGTGTGTCGGTTGGTTCATCAGTTTTGTGCATTCATTTCGTAGTCACAATTACAATTACCTTACATAATAACTCTTATTATCAATCCAAACTTATATATCCTCATATCATTATTGAAAAAAAAAAAGATTTGACTATACTTTTATTCAATCATGCCTTAGGAGATAACTATAATTTAAGTAATTTATTCTATAACAAATCATATAATCATACCAATTCTATCCTAAAAAGAAAAAAAAGAAAAAAAAACATTTTATAAATGTAATGTCAAATACCAAAAGAAAAAAGAAAAGTAACAACTTGATCATTTTTATTGCTAAGCAAGGTGATTGTGAAATGAGCTGCACCAGTGGTGGTGTTGCTACCGGTTTGCCCCGGTTCGCATGAACCGGTAGTAAAAAAAAAATACCCTCCGATGATCAGCTGAGTGGAGAAAGAAAAGCACAGGATCGGCCCTCCCACCCACCCACCCCTGCGCTTTTCTCTTCTTTTTCCTCTCTTCTGATTGGTGCTGCAGGTCTCAGATGGTGTGGGGAAAGCTGCGCATGCACGTTAGGCGCGTGTGCATGTGATCACTGAACCGATAGTGAAATAGGTAGGATCCCACTGCTGAGCTGCACCCCATTTTGCAATCATTTTCCTCAGCAGTTGTTAAATGCATCACTTCAGTTGTTTAGTGAATTATGAAGTCATTAAGAGAATCTGGCTTAATCCCCATTGACTCGCCTTGTCAGAAGCTGGCTGGGTAGGTTGCAAAAATAACATCAGCATTTTAGACTTATATATTGCTTCATAATGCTTTACAGGCTTCTCTAAGCAGTTTGCAGAGTCAGCCTATTACCCCCATTTATCTGGGTCCTCATTTTACTGGAAGGACGGAAGGCTGAGTCAACCTTGAGCCAGTCAGGATCGAACTCCAGGGTGTGGGATTGCAGAGTTAGCCTGCAACACTGCATTCTTACACTGAGCCACCACAGCTCAAATAGCGATCATGCCAGTGACCAAATGCCCAAATTTCAATCACATGATTGTGGGGAAACTGCGATGGTCATCATATGAGGAACTGGTCATAAGTCACTTTTTTTCCAGTGTTATTATAATTTTCAAAAAAAATAGTTGTAAGTCGAGGACTACCTGTGGTAGATTGAAGAGGTGTAGAGATGAATGAACAAATGAGGGTTAAAGGGTTCAGGTAACCAGTATTCAAAAGTCAACCTGCCCAGATCATTTGCATTTGGAAGAAAATGGGTTTTCTTGACAGAAGAATCAAAGGTAAAACAAAGATGGTTTTCCACATTCAGTTGGCGAAGCACTAGCAAAAGCACTTAAATATTGCTTCCTAGTGCTTTACAGCCCTCTCCAGTGGTGGGCTGCAACCGATTTTACAACCAATTCTGTGATTAATAAAATAATGGAATGTGTAGAAATGAATAAGTTAAACACTGGCAATTAGAGAATAAGAAGAAATGGAGTATTACAAGATTTGGGATTTATTTTATAGATGGTTGGAAAATAAAGTGAGAAACGAAATGACACTGTAACAGTGCTATATTGTGATATATAATGCTGGACAGGTTACAATAGGAATGTAAATTTACCAAGAAATGTATACAAATATTAATATGTGCACAAGACATCTGTACCAGAGGTGGTATTCAGCAGGTTCTGACCAGTTCTGGAGAACGGGTAGCAGAAATTTTGAGTAGTTCGGAGAAGCAGTAAATCCCACCTCTGATTGGAGATTTTTTTTACAGTATCCTTCCCTTGCCACACCCACCAAGCCACGCCCACAGAACCGGTAGTTAAAAAAGCTGAATCCCACCACTGATATATACCCAGATGACACACTGTATAACTGAAAGATGGTTTTATTTGTTGTTTTTGTTATAAAAATAAAAAAACCAGTGAGTGCGTACTTTCTGCATGCGCAACACTCAAAAAACCACAATTTTTAACCTCAACAGTTTGCCTTCTAGGGCAGCCTTGGTTAAGTAGAACAGCTGAGGCGCGGAAATCCGCTGTGCTCCACGAGTCAGCTGAGAAAGACGGAAATATAGGACAGGAATAGGGCGGGGGTGGGTGGGCGGGGCCAGCTGAGGGTCGGAACTACTGGTTCACTAGAACTGGTCCAAACTGGCAGCCGCCCACCAACTGGCTCTCTCTAAGCGGTTTACAAAGTCAGCCTATCACCCCCAACAATCTGGGTCCTCATTTTACCAACCTCAGAAGGATGGAAGGCTGAGTCAACCTTGAGCTGGTCAGGTTCGAACTCCAGGCTGCGGGCAGAGTTTGCCTGCAATACTGCCTTCTAACCCTTATACCACTACATAGCTTCAGTAAAAAAATAATCTCTCCTGTGAGGGATAAGGGACAAATTCTTGCTGAAACAGATTGAGAAAACAGCTAACGTCTGGTGTTTTCTAATATAAGGTAAAGCTTTTTTTTTTTTAAAAAAAAATACTTTTGATATTTTTGATTTCAGGCAGTTTTGCTAAGGATGTTTCAGGCTGTCTTGTTGTTTTCTTACACCTTGCTAAACATGGTTCCTGCAAGCTTTTGCAGAAGGCGCTTTAAAAGCCTGACATAGAATTAAGATTTTACTGGCGCAATGTCCCAAAGGTGCTTTTCAAAAGGCAATTGGATTTTTCTTGGTTTCTTCCCCCCCCCTTTTAAACATTTCGCTTCGAGTCCAAGAAGGTTGTTCGGTTCCGCTACATTTGCACAACTTCCCTAATTATTTTTGCCTCTGTCTTCTTGCTCTGCAGACACATCGTTTTTGCTCCAAGCAGCCGCAACAAATACGCAGGCATGTCATTCCCAGGGATCTACGATGCTCTTTTTGATATAGGCAGCAGGGGAGATCCGCACAAAGCATGGAAGGACGTCAAGAGACAGATCTCTATCGCAGCCTTCACTGTGCAGGCCGCTGCAGGGATCCTGGAAGGGGTCTTGTAAGACAACGGCAGTAGAACAGAAGCAGCCTATTTGACGATGTGCATGGCCGGAAAATTTGTATTTTGTGTGCAATTTTACAATCCCAGCACATCACTGCTTCCAATTCTGGTGATTCGAACACTGATCAGGTGCTTTTTGGCAGTGCCTTAATATAGTTTCTGAAAGTTTCGTTCGTCATCAGGATTTTATTGTCCTATTCCTCTGATTCAGGTGGGAATGAGTATTTGAAATCCCCCCTTTACTCCAATACAGGTAGTCCTTAGGACCACAAGGTAGTCCTTGACTGATGACCGCAACTGGCACAAGTTTTTGTTGCTAAGCAAAGCAGTTGTTGAATATATCACGTCCAACTTCATATTTTGGGCCGTGGTGGTTAAGCAAATAATTGCAATTGCTAAGTGGATCAGCTGGCATGGTAGTTAAAAAAATATGGCTTCCCCCCACTGCGTTGTTTGTCAGAAACTGGCTGGGAAGGCCACAAATGGTGATCAGAGAACCATAGCACATCGTTAACTGTTGTAAATGCGCGCCAATTGACCAAGTGCTCAAATTTTGATTATTGTGGGGATGCTGCCAAGTTTGTAACTGCCGGTTGCAAGTCACTTTTTTTCCAGCGTTGCTCTGATTTTAAATGTTCCTGAATGAAATGGTTTTAAGTCAAGGACTATCTGCATTTTCAGTTGCTTAAAGCAGTCCCAAACATCTCGCTTCGAATGATTGAGCGTAGGGATGTCAACATTGGTCCGCTCACAAACCGGCCTGTGGAACAGGGGTAGCTGATTTCAGACAGCCTGTGGCTGCTTTGGTGTTTTGGAGTGTACGCAAAATACAACGCTGTTTTGCTCATTGCGTGAAACGAAATATGGCTGCTTTTCTTCTGAGCACAAATGGGAAACGTAGGAGTGTGTGTGGTGGTGGTGGTGGTGGAAACAAAACAGCTGGCTAAGTGGAAGATATAGTGGGTTTCTTTTTCTTAGCTACCTAATAGCATAGAGTACAGCTTTCCTGCAAATGGTATTCTTCAGATGTGTTGAGGCTACATTGCTTGTTGTGCATAATTAACCTCAAACCAGGTTGAGAAAGTTTAGGGTAGATTGATCCTCTGTGGATGAAGCTAATGCTGTTTTGAGAAATATATACCTGAACTTTGCTTAAAGCAATCTCTCAGCTCTTCTATGATAAGTATGATAAAAGCATTCTCTGTGGGGGCCCTTCTGTGGTGTTAAATTGCCAATGGGTTTGATGGAAATAGTCAATAACATACATCCTCTGCACAAACTTACACAATATAAGCCAGAACATTCAACTAATCTTTTATGGGTCTGAGCAAACAGGTCTTACATACAACAAACAAATAAATAAAATATTCTCGTAATTCGTTCAAAAAGGTAGAATTTATGCACTAAATTGTTTATTTCAAAATTTGTAAAAAATATTTCAAGGCATGAAACCACAAACATCCTCCAACACAATTTAAAACAAACATCCATGCATGGGAAAACAAAGAAGAGAAGAAAAGAAAAGCATTTGAAAAACCTAGTGTTCCAGACACCTTTCTTCTTCACTTTCCATACACAACTGAAGTTCTTAGGTACGGTATGAAAAAAAAATCAGCCACTGATTTTTTAAAAATACTTCTCATGCTATAATTTAAAGCAGATATCTTTATTACCTATACAGAATATATCTTTTTTTTTTCCAAGACAAAAAACCAACAGTACTGACTGTGGAAATGGTGACTTGGCTGTATAGCACTGATGTCTTAATAAAATGTGGGTCCCAATTTAAACATGCTTTGCATTAAGAATGCCCATGCATTTTACTTGGAAAGAAGTGATTCAACTATAAACATGAAAATTGTGCTTGAAATGGCACAAGAGTCCACGGAGCAACTGCCCAAATTGAGACATGAAAGCTTGCAATTGTAACACCCCAAGCTAAATGATTGACCAGCATTTTTTTTCTTGCCAATAACCGGGGGTCCCCAACCATGGCAACTTCAAGACTTGCAGACTTCAAATTCCAGAATTTCCCAGCCAGCATGACTGGCTGAAGAATTCTGGGAGGTGAAGTCCACAAGTCTTAAAAGTTGCTAAAACTGAGGAGCCCTGCAAACAGGAGACTGCAAAAATGGCAGACAAAGAATGCTGTCAAGTCCCATCAGGAATACACAGTACTGGGAAGGATTCCATAAAATCAACCGATCCCTAAATAGGCTTGAACCACAGAAACCTGGGGAAACGGTTCACTGCACTCCAGTGCCAACGGCTTATTTCAAGGGCAGCAAAAAAAAAAAAAACCCTCAGGAAAGTTACAGTACGGTAACTTCTGTGGTTAAAAATCAAGACATTTATCAAGGAAAGTAAATGAAGGTGCAACAACAATCTGGGGCGTGGAGAACTGTTCTCCAAAGGCGCCTGCAGCTATTGGATTCAAGTCTTGCTAGCGCCATTTGAACAAACTGGTGAGCAATATGAACTGGATCCAAGTGTCATGCTAATGAAACGTGACAATGCTGGGAAGTAAAAATACATTGTTAATGAAGAGCAACCATTTGAGACTAAATTGACCTCTTGTTGGAAAATTACTCTCCAGAAACTTTTAAGTAGACAATTAGGATCAACTTGGATTTGTTGCACGTTCTCCGCCAATTTTTACATGTTATTTTAAACCACGGCTTAGCTCTTAGAGGGATTTTCTTTTTGCTTTCAAATATCAGAAGTGTTTGTATTCACCCTGCTCTACTTTGTCTGCAATTAAAATTCTGCTTGACTTGTCTTTATGCAATTTGCAGTCTTGCTCAAAGATCAAGCCACAGGAAATATCTATAATCACCAAAAGAATCAGCTGGGTATAACAGAAGTTGCTGGCAGGGTCTGTCACTCACTGAATGGCTTCTCCAGACCCCTGAATGCAGGAAACTTGCATTCAAGGGTGATCGGGGTACAGCGTGGTAGCTTTTAGGCAGAAATTCAAAGAAGCAGACCATCCAGATCAGAAAAGCAGATGTTCCAAAGCTAATCGGAGCGCAAAGGACAGAAGAAGCACATTCTGAAGTTGTATGGTTTATTAATGTCTACCTTCTAGAGCAGCGTTCCCAACATTGCTTGCTTTGTGGACCAGCGGTGGCAAGGTGGGGAGAGTTTCGTGTGTTGTGCATGCCACTTGCACCAATGCAGCTTCACGTGGGCACTTCATGTGCTGCTTGCGGGCCAAGACTGGGGGAGTGGGGCCCCTTGTTCTAGAGTTATCTTTTCTTAGAAAATTCAGTTTAAACTGTTTTAAAACACTTATTAAGAATTACAATCACAAAAGGCTGCTTTATTTACCTCCAACAACTTCCGGATTAAAACCTTTTTTTTAAAAAAAAAAAGCATTATAGATACAAGTAACACGTGCTTTTAAAAAAGAGGCCCCCCTTTTTTGTGCAATCACTTATGACTTGAGCGATGCCAATGAGTCGTTCTGCCTCTATAGTAGTTTTTGCCATCTTCAAGTATATAAAAATACAGTAACATACTGCAACACAATTCACAATTTGCGCAAAGACACTTGTTTTGCTTGAAGTTGACCATTGTGGCATGTATTTCAGCCCTCCCAACTTTCTCTACACTTTTGGCAAAAAGGTAGCAAACTGAAAGTATAAACCGAGTTGCCTTCATTGCTTTACCACAAAGGAGATGGAGAAACTGATCGGAAAAGCATAGCCACCAAAATCCGATGTGCACATATTGGACATTTTGTCTGTGCTATTTCCCCTCTGGATGAGGACAAGGCTTAAGAGAAACAAACTAAACGGACCTAAAATTCCCAGTGCCTGTTTTTTTGTCTTGGAAAGCCTTGGCTTTCTGAATAAGTGCACAGAGGTAGCCTAGCAGTTCATTGGCAATATATTTCTTGAATTCCAAGGAATAATAATAATTTTAAAAAAAGATTACCAACTTCTTTGCACAGGCAAGCCTAAAACTTCTACCGTTTTATTTCTGCATTTAATGACATAAAAAAAGACAAGACAGAAATGCAGCAATAGCCCCTTGTGCTCTCCTTGCTATAGACTGAGAAACAATCTTGCACGCATCCAACTACCAATGAAAATTTAACTTGGATTTTCAACATATAAGAGACTGCTTCCTGGGGGATGTTCGAGATGATTATTTAGTTTGGGCCAATGAGAACACACACTCCCTTTGTAAAACGATGGCAGAGGAAATTCTGAGGTTTGCAAGCATCAGTCGAAATTGGGCGAATTAAGGAGTCGGTACAATAAAACCAGCGGTCTGCCCTACTGCTTAAAAGCCATGCACTACGCTCGAGCTGGAATGATTTTTTTTTTTTTTAAAGTGGCTGCCTACAAAATTGATTTTGTGTTAAAATGCCAAGTCACCATTTCACCAGGCACACGGAACCAGCCAACTTTCCGATTTCAAGCTTGTTCTACGATGTTTTGAGGCTCTTTGGGTTGCAATTTGGACGCTGGGAGTTCCAAGCCTGCCCATAACATGGGCTCCGCTTTCCTCATGGCGAGCTCGATCTTTGTAGCCATCATATTTACGTAGCTCCTTTTCACATCAATCACCTGGAAGAGGAAAAGAGTGGTTTCAGTTCAAGCAATGGAACTGGGCGGACTTATAAGCATCTTTAAGTGCAATGCATTCAGTCGGCTATTATACAGGTAGTCCTCGGCTTACAACAGTTCATTTAGTGACTGTTCAAAAATTACAAGAGTGCTGAAAAAGGTGACTTATGATCATTTTTCACACTTACGACCGTTGCAGCAGCCCCACAGTCACATGATTTACATTAGGATGCTTGACAACTGGCTCATGTTTATGACCACTGCCGTGTCCCAGGGTCATGTGATCTCCTTTTGCAACCTTCTGATAAGCAAAGTCAACGGGGAAGCCAGATTCACTTAAAAGCTGTGTTACTAACTTAACAACTGCAGGGATTCACTTTACAACTGTGGTGAGAAAACTCGTAAAATGGGGACAAAACCCACTTAACAAATTTCTCATTTAGCAACATGTTGGGCTTAACTGTGGTCATAAGTTGAGTACTACCTGTAGCACATGACAGTCCTTATTGATTACAGAGAAATCCGTAAGGATTGTTATAACTTCAGAAAGAGGCTTCTTAGTTCAAGTCTGGTATCAATATATCTTCTATCAGTTTTATATCAAGACAGTCAAAGGACACAACGGTAAGTTTTTAACTTCGTTTCCTAACAGGCTGTGATTGTGATGAATAAAAAACTGATTCACAGGTTCCATACGGAATTTTGCAAATCACCCTTTTAATAATGACTTGAGTGCACAGAATCCATTCATCAACCACTTCCACAACTGTCAACTAGACTTTGGCACTTGCATTTTTCTTAAATGCAAGTGCCACATTACATTAGAAAAGTCTGACAACAGAATCCATAAAAAAGACTTCCAGAGAAACTTGAAAATTTGTAGCAGAATTATGTACTTACACCCCATAAATTCAGATTTTGACTGAACACCTTATCACCTTCAAACACAATATGGATATTTAGCTGCAAAAAGAAAGAAAGGTGTATGCAGTGAAAAAGAAATCCAAGTTTACTCACATTTATCCAAACAGGTCTATTGTTACTTTAAAGTAACCCTTCCCTTTAAACGTATGAAAGCAGTGTTACTCAACCCTGGCCAGTTGAAGTCTACCCATCTTCCACTGGCCAAGGTTGAGAAACGCTGCATGAAAGAAAAACAGATTTCCCAATTCCTTCAACCACTCTTTACAAAACTTCATTTCGAGATTTTCTTACTGCCATTCTCTGAACTTGTTCTGATTTCTCAGATTCCTTCTTAAAGCATGGCTACCCAAAATTAATACACCCCAGATACCCAAGCAAAACATAGTGGAGCAGAATGATTAATCCCACAATTGGGAAATTATGTACCTACTGATGCAGTGTAAAATTGCATCTGCCATTTTTGCAAACGCATCATACCGCTGGCTCATATCCAATTTGCCAATCAACCCTCATCTCAAGTTCTTTGTCACAACTGCTGTTATTAATCCAGTATTTGCCACCTTGTTTCCATGTGATACATTTCTTAGGGAAGAACTCTGTATTTGCTTCTGTTAAATTGCATTGCTATTTTCATCCCATCTCTTTGATTTTTTTTTTTTAATTGTCCTCTGAAGTATTAACTATGCCACCCAATGTTGTAGCCTCTACAGAGTTGTTAAGCTCTCATCCAATAAAAATATTAAAAATTACAAGTTCCAGTTCTCAACTATGTGTCACCTCACTTAAAACCTGTCTACAATTTGATGAGGCGATGTGGTGGTTCAGTGGCTAAGACGCTGAGCTTGTTGATCAGAAAAGTTGGCAGTTCGGTTCGAATCCCTAACGCTGTGTAGAGTGAGCTCCCGTTACTTGTCCCAAGTAACGGGCTCCTTGTTACTTGTTCTGCCAACCTAGCAGTTCAAAAGGGTGTAAAAAATGCAAGTAGAAAAATAGGGACCACTTTGGTGGGAAGGTAACAGTGTTCCGTGCACCTTTGCTGTTTTAGTCATGCCGGCCACATGACCATGGAGACATCTTCGGACAGTGCTGGCTCTTCGGCTTTGTAATGGAGATGAACACTGCTCCCTAGAGCCGGAAATGACTAGCATGTATGTGCGAGGGGAACCCTTTACCGTTACAAATTGATGAAGAGCTGCTGGTGATTATTCTTTGGATGTGATTATTGAACCAATTATATATTCATTACATTTATCATGCCCTCCATCCAACAGATAATTAGTTTTCGTTTAATCAAGCCTCACATAAAAGGACCTACAAAGAACTAAGACCACCTCTATATGTTTATCTCTGTATGCATATACTTTATTGCAACAAATTTAATAGACATCTTTTATTGTCGTGTTGCTCTACGGAAGATGTCTCACATACTTTGCATGCTAATGCAGTACAACGTCCTTCGGTGGTACAGACCTAACTCCCTATAAAAAGTTCAAATGCAGCAAGATGGATACACTCAGTTACAGTGGCAATAAATACACCATTGGAAGACCTGAAGTATCAGATTAGGGGCAGGCCATCATAGTGAATCGCTACGTACAGTGAGTCAACACTGAGTTGATGGCATGTAATCAATCAATCAAACGTTTGTGCATGAACCTCAGCCCCACCTAAGCAAAAGAGTAACTTACTAATGTACTGTTTGCCTCTACCCGGCTCAGTTCAGGAATGGAATTCTTTGCATAGATAGAAATTATTACTTCACGGCTAGTTTGATGCCAGTCGTGTCTGCACGGCACCACCTTCTTCCCCTTAAAGTTGAACAGAGAGAAACAATTAATTTTTTTTTTTCATTTAAAATGAAAACAAACAAACCCAACACTACCTATTTTTTTCATTGGAGTGAAGACTGCCATTGTTGGCCGAAGTTTGGAACAGGAGCTCTCCCTAGAAACAGTATGGGAACATGTATGCAAAGGGAAGATTTTTCCCCACTTGGCAGAATATATACAGTGGGGGTCTTTAAATAACAAACGCAAGCTGTATTTTTCCACCCTGCCAAGTAGGACAAGCCACGGAAGTCTTTAAACAAAAAAAAAAGTTTTCCTAAGGTTATGAAAAGCAGGCCCAAACTGCCTGGAATTTCAGAAGTCCCAGCTGTTTTACCTCCTGTGTCCTTATACAACCTACTCCAGCAAATTCACTGCGAGAGTCTCTTTTAACAATACTGTCATAAAAGAAATACAGGCAGTCCTCAACTTATAGCCATTCATTTAGCGATCATTTGAAGTTATATATAACAGCCCTGAAAAAAAAAAACGCCTTTTAAAACTGGTCTTCACACAGTTGCAGCAGACAGGCACATGATCAAATTTTGAGTGCTTGGCAACTGACATAGGATTATGATAATTGCATTGTCCAGAGTCCCGGGGATCATCATTTGTAACCTTCCCAAATGGCCTCCAACAAACGAGGTCAAGGGGGGAAGTGGAATTCATTTAGACATGTGTGGTTTACTTAACTACAGTGATTCACCTAACAACCAGAAAGATTGTTAAATTAGATGGGACTCAGTTAACCACCTGGCGTAGCAACAGAAATTCTGGTCGTAAGTCAAGGACTGACCATCAGAGCATTAGTATTGCCTATATTGTTATTAACACGCTCTGATGCTAAGGAGTCCTTCTCCCCCTCCCCACCTGAAAAGAAATCTCTTCCAAATGCAAAACACAAGCAGAGGAGAGGAGTATCAGTTTCAGTTTTGGTTTCACAGCTCCAAGCAGCTTTAGTACAGAACAGTTGAGCTAAGCCACGCTCAGGCTCCTGGCTGTCTCCTTCTTGCTCACATAGCAAATACTGTTTCACTTTCCAAACAGCACTCAACTCTCTCACACACTGACAGGATGCTAGCTAGATGAATACCGATGGATGCTGGTAGGCAGAGGCAGAATTTTTTCCCTTATTTTCCTCCCCCAAAGCTAAGCCCAATCACATAGTTTCGTAGCGAAGCACGGGTATAGAGCTAGTGAAACACAGCAGAGCTATCAATATTTGCACCCAGGAACTTTATCATGACTTGCCAGCTCCAGTTATCGGAGAGCTAAACGGGAGAGAAATGGCTCCTCATAACATCTTGCTTACCGGAGACCTAGGCAGGAACCATTAGCAAAATAGCAATAGCAGTTATAGACTTATTACAGCACTCCCTGGGAGGTTTACAATGTCAGCCTATTTCCCCCAACAATCTAGGTCCTCATTTTACTGACCTCAAAATGATGGAAGGCTGAGTCAGCCTTGAGCTCCATCAGAATCGAACTGCAGACTGTGGTCAGAGTTAGCCTGCAATCCTGCATTACAACCATTGGACCACCAGGGCTCATGACTCATGACATGAAAACGGTGGGAAGGTGATCTTTTCCATTCTAGCCATAGGTCAATCTATGGGACCAAGTGAGGGATTTCAGGATACCCTCTTCTGCTGTGGGAAAAGGGGAAACTACATAGAATATTTTATGGACAATTCTAAGGAATCTGTATAATTAACGCTGCATGGAAAATATAACATAAGTTTCTACCAAACTTTCCCGTTCTCAGACCCATCAATGTCATTTTCGGTGTATTAATTTTTGAGTTATTTATAAATATACTAAAGATGGGGTAAAAGTAAATATTTTTTTAAAAGTTGCTGGCAATGTATCTCAAACAGACAATTAGAGGTAAACCTTTGGTACAACTGTGTTTTTAGAAAAACAGATTAACCTGTGTAATAGTAGTACAACTTACTACAAACTGCCGGAACAAATCAACATGTTTTCAAGTGGATTCAATATATACAGTAAATGCTACATTTCATTCTATAGATTATATTCTCCAAATAAAGAGTCCCCAGCTTACAACAGTTTATCTAGTGACCATTCAAAGTTACAATGGCACTGGAAAGTGACTTATGACCATTTTTCACGCTTACAACTGTGGCATCATCCCTCAGGGTAAATGATCAACAGTACAGAACTTTCTGTACAGTTCAAACTACCATTTATGTACTCTGTATGAAATTTTACAGATTTCAAGTTATCTTAAGGTGCAATTGGACTAAATGCAAAGCAAAAACATTTAATTTTCCCAATCAATGTAGCCAAACAGTGTATCTGCAACTACTTACGGCATCCTTCTTAATCCATAGGTGTGTTCCCGTTGTGCAGCCCTCTTGAGCCAAAAAAGTATTGAAGTCTGATGTTTTCCTCTTACAGCAACTCCAATACTTCATCCTATTACAAAGGGCAGCAGGGAAAAACACTTACATAGAATCACATAGAATTATTGCTAGTCATCCAAATATGCTGCTCATCTATACAGAATTTTAAGAATGAATTTATCCACAGGATACCCACCCTTCATGGAATATAGGCACACCAGCATGATAGATACATGCGTCTTCCATGCTGCCTGGTCCTTCAAATGTCTAGGGAAATGTTAACAAAAAATAGTTCATTAGCCACTGAATTACAGCAGGTTACATCCCAATGCTTCCCAAGCAGGAAAAAGTCAAGCCATAGCCATTTTTATTATTTTGCAATTCCCTCTGGTCAGCAGTTGAAAGCGTTTCACAATGAGCCAAGTTTCTTCCAACTGTCTGGATGAGAATGAAAGAGGGAAGGCTTTCCTGTGGATCTTTTAAGGGACGTTGGAAAAATATTTACCTGTGCAGATTTGGATCAACATTTGAACTTTAGACTTTGTTTAAAATAATAACTTATTGTTGTCATGATTCATGTGTATTTAAAAATAAGAAAATGGGTGAAAACTCTCATGGTTGCGAATGCAAGAAAATGCACTTTGATGTATACATATGATAACTATTCATGGGATATGTTGATCTAACATTGGTTGGCAGGTCTGTACTTAAAAAAACAACTTGGTATAAAACAGACCGTCTATTGTGTTGTTTAAATAAGATTTAAAGATACTTACCTTTGAACAGCCTGCATTTTTGCATGGAGTCCCAATCTTTATCTCATCGCTATCATCTTCTGTAAAATAAGAACTCTCTTTCAGAACATTTCCAACTTTTCATGCTTAAAAGAAATTTGGGGGTTGGTGAGGGGAAGGATTGGGATGTACAGTATAAGAGATCAGAGGTGCACTCACACTGAGTGTATTTTGTGCACAGGATGTTTGCTTTTCAAACATGATAGCACCATGCACACTGCAAAACTGAAGTATAATAATAATGGACACAACACATTCTTGGTAAAAACATCTTGGACTATTACTAAGCTACATACCTTTTTTAATTTCATTTTCCGATGATGCTTTTAGCTTTTCTAACGATTGTTTCAAGGACGCTGATACTTTTAACTGCAAGCAGCTCATTGGTTCATCAGAACTAAGGAATCACAGGAGAAAAATGCATCATTTTGATTATTCAATCTCAACAACTAAATATTTTGCATATTTTAAACAGGTTAAAAAGAGTTCTTAATACTAATATTCTTGGTAGTTACTCTTATGATTAAAAAAAGATTATATCATATAGATTTATAATTTTATCCAAGATTGGTTTATTTTGGGTTTCTCCAGGAAAAAAATAAAATAAAATATACTTAGACATTACACTTATTTAGACAGCAAGTTAATAAATACAAAATAAATCAAGTTATAACCTATGAAATTGATTTGGCATTAATGCCAGTCTTAATCGGTATTATCACAATATTGTTACCTTGGTCTTTGAATTGCTTCTACTGGCTTTGGTGCTTGAATTATGTGCTCTTGAAATTTAGGTTTCAGATCAGCTAATTCTTTTCGTTCAGACGTAGTTTTCACTTCAGGTTTGACTGGTTCAGGGGGTTTCTCACTATTATGGAAGCCCTTGGTGCAACCCTGTTGTACAAACACTATTTAATACAAATTGTTACTCAGTTCTATCAATGTATTTGAAAATGTCCCTTTTCTTATTAGCCTTCAGATTCTTTATCATTCTAATTTGTATGCTTCGTTAAGCAGATATTCCTTTTTTTATTAGACTAATCACATGTGTACACCTATATCAACTTCTGTTCTTCACAGTATTGTAATATTTCCATCCTTCTGAGGTAGGTAAAATGAGGACCCAAACTGTTGGGGGCAATATGCTGACTCTGTAAACTGCTTAGAGTGGGCTGTAAAGCACTATAAAGCAGTATATAAGTCTAAGTGCTATTGCTATTGTAAGATGCTAGGACAGCAGAGTTCCTGTGCTTTAAAAAAAACTTAGATAGTAAAGAGTTCCATTTAAACACAACATGCCATGTAGTATACTTGCTGGAAATTAAATAAACCCAACTAGCCTTTGCATGTATTTGCCAATGGAAAATTTAATTGACTGAATTTGGCACTTAAGCATTAATATCATAGTATAGTTTAATAAAAACCTATATAGCTACTAATACATACCTTAATGCTTAAGAAATCAGAAAAGTCTGTCGTTCTTCTTTTACAGCATGACCAGCCCTGTAAAAATATGGCGACACTGAAATACTATCTAGTGTCAGGTACAAGCAACCAGACCTATACGTGTAGAGCTACCTGATTGTTCTCTGCCTATAGTACCGGAATCTACCCAGACTGGCAAATTTCATCTGGGAAAGACCAGATAAGCCGAAGTCATTCAAGGGGGAGGAGTTTAGACCTAGTCCTGTTGTATTTACCTAGATAGGGAGTTCAAGCTGATTCCTTGCTTGAACCCTCCTCCCATCTAGGACGGTTGTTCTTCAACTTCTAGCGATTATTATTAAAGAACACGTGAACCAGAAAGAAGAAAATTTAACGCTAATCTGATGATACCATTAGTATTTTTTTTGACTTTCAATTGCATCATTTCTTTTCATCTCTGTTTATACTGCCCAACTGCGGCTTGATTAAGCAATGAAACAAGTTAATTAACTTTACAATCAAAATATGAAATCGTACCTAGCAAATACCCTTTTCCCTGACTGAGCCAAAAACCCCGAATAAACTGAAAAGCATTCAACACAATTCAGTTGGCTGTATCTACTAACCCTTCTTCATGATTTAGCATGTGTTTATACTGAAGGTCAGTGTTATTTGAGATCTTTAGGGGAAAAAACATACAAGTTTGATTACATTCGGATAAACTGATTAAGAGGTCATGAAAACAGTTGAAATAACTGCAATTAGCATGATTTAGTTTCAGTTTTCAAAAAGCCATTGAAATAATTAAATTTGCCCACTTACTTTAAGAGCATCATGAAAAACAGGTACGCCTGGGTGATATATGCATGATTCTAAAAATAAAAAAATAGAGAGCTCAGCTAAACTCAATTGAATAACTTTATATGAGCAGTATTTAGCAGATCAATTTAGACTTATGCAACAGTGATATTTTCAAGATATAAAATAAAGCCTCTGCTGGATTCTGGTAGTCTAAATTTAGAATTTTGGCTATTCAGGGAAAGAGTGTCATTTAGTTATTATTGTCACAATGTATTATATAATATTTTGTTATATAAAGAAGTATATCTGAAATTTGTCTTGGCAAATCATAATTCTGTTATATTAAAGTTTCATTTGTATAACATATATCCCTCCAGGAACAATAAGTGCACATTCTACATGGGCACCATACATATTGCTTAAACTTATCTTCTAAAATAGGGTTGAACTATTAACTGTGCAAGAGAAATAAAGTTCTTCCTTAATGACCACCATGTAAACTCCACAGAAATATTACCTCACAAATATTTGGATCATGTTTTTTTTTTTAAAAAGGGAGGAACTTAGCAAAACGATTACTGAACTTCAATATGAATTTTCAATATGGATATAACATCTAAGAATCAGATAAAGGGATGGGAATAAATAATACAGTAGATTCTCATTATTCACATATTCTGTATTTGTGTGAATTTGCCTACTTGCTAAAATTTGTAACTGCAATCAATATCTGCAATGATTTCATGGTCATTCACGGACGTGTAGAAGAGCAAAAAAAACCTGAGTTGCCTGACAGACACATTCATAACTGAGGTTTCAGTATTGACCAATTCAATGTTTGCATCTTTATAGAAAGTAACCATTACAAGTATTGAGAATTGACTGTACATTACATTCACTGCTATGTCATTGCCAACTCGTTACTGATGGAGGAAAGAATCTCTCCAGTTTGGGAAAAACATCCTGAAAAATAATAAAGCCAGAATTCTTAGTTGAGTGCCTTCCCAAACGTAGAAGACATGGAAGGAGATGGGAACACAGCAATCAGAGTTTCCTGGTGTTTCAACCATTCAATCCATGCAGTATCTTTCTGACAAAGGATTCTCTTTTAACATTATGACAAGGTATCATCAGGTAAAAAGATGTGGGAAAAATTGCTGCTAAGAGAGACATGGAAGAAAGAGATAGCTGTGTGCACAATGGCAACTCCTGCTTTCTTTCTTCTATATACTGTATTTATACAGTATATGAACATCAAGGAAAAGTATTTAACAAGACAATGATTTCAATTTATGTATTAGAAGTTATAAACATTTCCACATAGGCAAAAGGGGGCTAAGAATGCTCACACACACAATAATATCCCAGATGCTACATTATGTAACGAGTGATATGCAGTGATCCAGATCTGAAGAGGGAAAAGCTGGAAATCAGGGGTGTCCAACCTTGGCAACTTTAAGACTTGTGGACTTCAACTCCCAGAATTCCTCAGCCAGCTTTGAAGTCCACAAGTCTTAAAGTTGCCAAGGTTGGACACCCCTGCTGTAAATGAAGCAACATGCTTTCACCTGCTGGAACTTGTCATACATCATTTACAGGGATTGGGCTACGGCTACAGTGAAAAACATACATTAGTTTTAAGGAGTTGCCAATAGGTGAGAAGTACATGTGTACTTATTACAGTTTATTATAACATTCAATGCAGCTTATGGCAATAAAAAAAGGCAGAGAATGTAAAGCAGCCACAAGATTCATATCCCAAAGGTGGCTTTTTTTTACCAGTGGTTTTTTTTTTTTTGAAGACATTTTACTTCTCGTCCAAGAAGCTTCTTCAGTTCTGACTGAGTGGTGGGGAATGGAAGGGTTTATTTGTGTCATCAGGGTCACAAAAAGTGAGTCGTGCAAATGGATGTGGAGCCTTCTTGAAACTGCTGAAAGGACTGTGTTGTAGATTGGAGATAAATGAAGACAATCCTTCCATTCCCCACCATCTAATCAGAACTGAAGAAGCTTCTTGGATGAGAAGTGAAACACCTTCAGAAGGAAAAACCAAGCAAAGTCCAGTCACCTCCTGTAAAAGCACCTTTGGGGCAAGCATGACCTGGATGACTGAGAATCTCTACAGACCATGAGACTCATACAACTGACATCAAAACTAAAATTAAAGCCCATCAGAAAAGGAACACTCATGAGCTTGACAATAACCAAGCTTTTGGCTACGGAGGACAAGAGAGCATCTCCAAAGCACCAGCCAACTCAAGTTACTGTATATTCCTTGCAAGCGAAATTCTGACATACGGTCTACGATCAACGATTGTGTAAAACTCTCCTCTCCTCTTTCCTTTCCTTTTTTCCTATCCCTAGCAAGCAAGCCTTTGCAGATCTGAAAACGCCACTGAGTGGGGCTACCAGGGGTTGCAGGCCAGGCAGGGGTTGAGGCGTGAAGAGATTTGTCTTTGAAGGGGTTTCACTTCTCCTCCAAGAAGCTTCTTGGAGAAGCATGCTAAAACAGGGGTCCTCCAACCTTGGCAATTTTAAGACTTGTGGACTTCAACTCCCAGGTCTCCTCAGTCAGCAAAGCAAAGCTGGCTGAGGGATTCTGGGAGTTGAAGTCCACAAGTCTTAAAGTTGCCAAGGTTGGAGACCCCTGTCCCAAAAAACATCCTAAAAAAAAAGAGCAGCGATGGACCCATGTTGTTGAACACTATTAACACTGTGTTATACCGTTTAACCACCAGTGACCTTAGGGGACTTTGACAGTCTAAATGGAGTCAGACCAAAATCCCCAGCTGTCCTCTTGGCAGGAAGGTTGAAAAAAAAAAAAAAAAAAAACCTATCCAGGAAGGAGGCAACCTTGCCTTCCTCTTTTATTTATTCAATTTATTGGCCACCCATCTTAACCCCAGGTTAGCCCTGGGCAGAATTGTCAAAGAGAAAAGTCAGGGGTTCAAGTTGGAGGCTTTTAAGTCAAGGGTTCTTCAATCTTGACAGCTTTAAGACTTCAACTCCCAGAATTCCTCCTCCAGTCATGTTAGCTCAGGAATTCTGGGAGTTGAAGTCCACAAGTCTTAAAGCTTGCCAAGTTTGAAGAAACCTTGTTTCCAAAGCTCCATGTACCTCAATCTGGGCCCCTTTAAAGACGGCTGGACTTCGACTCCCAGGATCCTCTCGCTAGAAAGGCTGGCTGGGGAATTCTGGGAGTTGGAGTCCAGCCGTCTTTAAAGCGGCCTAGACTGAGGAACATGGGACTTAATAGAGCTTCCTTGGAGGCCCCCGGACTTTTCTCTTGACAACTCCGCCCAGAGTTACCCTGGGGGATAAGATGGGCTGCCAATAAACTTAATAAAATTTATTATTTATTAGAGTTTTCTTCTTTTTTTTTTTTTCCCCACACAATCTCCCCCCGCGTCCCCCCCCCCCTCCCCCCCCCCCCCAGGCTAGCGGGACGACTCCCTCCCGCATAAGTACCCGCAAACGCGGCCTTCCCTCCTGGAGAGGCTGTGGCTCCAAATCCCATCGCCCCAAGCAGCCGGCTTGCCCCGGCCGTGCTTGGCTGGGCACCATGGAGACTGTAGTCCCCGCTCTCTGGAGGGCGGCAAAGCCACACGATGAGGGGAAAGGGAGCCGGTATAAAAGGCCGCGCTCACCTTCCGTGTTGGTGGCCGGGTCGAAGCGCTGGCCGCATCCTCGGTTGTAGCAAAGCAGCTCCATGTCCGATGAAGGAGAAACGCCGGTCGCTTCTGATGAAGACAGGCGGAATGACTGACAAGGAAAGAAGTGACCGCCTCTTCCGGCTTCCCCGGACCGTTTGGGCCGATCGGCAGTTTCGGGAACCTTCGAGAAACTTCGCCGGAGCTGAGGCGGCAGGCGCAGGCGCAGAAGCGGCGCTCAGCGGCGCGTGGAACTGGAGGGAGGCGGTAGGGGGAGGAGCGCGCAGGCGCAATTGGGGAGCCGCTGGTTCTCGGGGGAGACGAATTAAACAACTTTTTTTTTTTTTTTTGCAAAAGCGAATCTTGGTGATTGTTCTTTGAGTCGAGAAATGCTTGTTTGCAGCGGAGCTAGGGCGGCCCGTTTTGGGTTTTGTAGGAACCTGGGAACTGGGTCTGTCCAAGAACTGGGTTAAGGGGGTTACCTGTGAACGGATTCCAAAGGTGCTTTTTTCAAAAGGCAAACTGGACTTTTGGGTTTTTCTTTGAAGATGTTTTACTTCTCATCCAAGAAGTTTTTCAGCTCTGCATCGCTAGATGTCTATGGAGTTTCTCAGTCATCCAGGTCATGGTTGTCCCAAAGCTGCTTATTCAAGAGGCAAATGGATTTTCTGTTTTTTTCTTTGAAGATGTTTCTCATCCAATAAGCTTCTTCGACTCTTCAGAAGAAGTTTCATGGATGAGAAGCAAAATGTCTTCACAGAAAAACCAGAAAGTCCAGTTGACACTTGAAAAAAGCGCCTTTGGATGACTCAGAATCTCCATAGACTTGTGAATGGATCGTTTGCAAGATAAGGGCAATGGGTGTGTGGGAAGCCCCCACCCCCAGAAGAATGAAATATTTTGGAAAATATTAAGAAAGACAGAATATTATATTTCCCCAAAAGAAATGGAGAAACATGTTCTTAAGAGGCAGAAAGCAGCCCCGGTCTTTCTTAATAGCCCACAGCAGATGCCAGCACTTAAGGAGATAAAGAGCTCATTGAAAGAGGAAGACAACTATCTAGATGGCTCAATTTATAAGCAAAGCAAATATTGTAGGCAGAAATCCATTCAATATCAAGGATATCTTGAAACTCCTTGCAGCAAAGTTTGACAGCTAAAAAAGGCTGATTGTTAGTATGATTAGAAAACAGCCCATTACCCAAGATCCAACCCAGGACAAAAGCTTTTAGCCACAATAGGAATTGCCCAACACCCTTTCAGAACAAAAGCTCCCTCATTGCACAACCCCCAGAACAGTTCAAAGTCACAAAAACCTATAAAGATCCACCCACTCATTCAACCATTTGGCCAGCTGCCCCAGAACCACAAACCCTGGTGGTTCGTTCATCAATAAATGGACCTTCTTTCCAATCAGCTTCCATTTTGTTTCCAGTATCTTTCTCCCAACTTGAAAATGAACCAGATGGATTTTCCTTCCAACAACATCATTCCGGTGAAACTCAAAAAATTAGAATATTCTAATTTTCTGAGATTGTGGATTTGGGGTTTTCATAAGCTGTAAGCCATTATTTCAGTAATGCAACTTAAAAGGTGAAACTAATATATGAGATAGACTCATTACATGCAAAGCAAGATAGTTCAAGCGGTGATTTGTCATAATTGAGATGATTATGGCTTACAGTTCATGAAAACCTCAAATCCACAATCTCAGAAAATTAGAATATTGTGAAAAGGTTCAATATTCTAGGCTCAAAGTGTCCCACTCTAATCAGCTAATTGAGCCATAACACCTGCAAAGGGTTCCTGAGCCTTTAAATGGTCTCTCAGTCAGGATCAATAGGAATCACAATCATGGGAAAGACTGCTGACCTGACAATTGTACAGAAAACCATCATTGACACCCTCCATAAGGAGGGAAAGCCTCAAAAGGTAATTGCACACGAAGTTGGATGTTCCCAAAATGTTGTATTCTATAATGTTGCACATTATAGAAAGTTATGTGGAAGGGAAAAGTGGAAGAAAAAGGTGCACAAGCATCAGGGATGACCGTAGCCTGGAGAGGATTGTCAGGAAAAGGCCATTCAAAAATGTTGGGGACTTTCACAAGGAGTGGACTGAGGCTGGAGTCAGTGCATCAAGAGCCACCACACACAGACGGATCCTGGACATGGGCTTCAAATGCCATATTCCTCTTGTCCAGTCACTCCTGAACAACAAAGTCCAAAGCATCTTACCTGGGCTAAAGGAAAAAGAACTGGTCTGTTGCTCAGTGGTCCAAAGTCCTCTTTTCTGATTAGAGCAATTTTTGCATCTCATTTGGAAACCAAGGACCCAGAGTCTGGAGGAAGAATGGAGAGGCACACACTGCAAGATGCTTGAAGTCCAGTGTGAAGTTTCCACAGTCTATGTTGATTTGGGGAGTCATGTCATCTGCTGGTGTTGGTCCACTGTACTTCATTAAGCCCAGTTAACACAGTCGTCTACAAGGAGATTTTGGAGCACTTCATGCTTCCTTCCGCAGACAAGCTTTATGGGGATGCTGATTTCATTTTCCAGCAGGACTTGGCACCTGCCCACACTGCCAAAAACACCAAAACCTGGTTCAATGACTGTGGGATTACTGTGCTTGATTGGCCAGCAAACTCACCTGACCTGAACCCCATAGAGAATCTATGGGGCATTGCCAAGAGAAAGATGAGAGACATGAGACCGAACAATGCAGAAGAGCTGAAGGACGCTATTGAAGCATCCTGGTCTTCCAGAACACCTCAGCAGTGCCACAGGCTGATAGCTTCCATGCCACGGCGCATTGAGGCAGTAATTGCTGCAAAGGGGCCCCAAACCAAGTACTGAGTACATATGCATGCTTATACTTTTCAGAGATCCAATATTGTTCTATGTACAATCCTTGTTTTATTCATTGCATATAATATTCTAATTTTCTGAGATTGTGGATTTGGGGTTTTCATGAGCTGTAAGCCATAATCATCACAATTATGACAAATAATGGCTTGAACTATCTTGCTTTGCATGTAATGAGTCTATCTCATATATTAGTTTCACCTTTTAAGTTGCATTACTGAAATAAATGAACTTTTACACGATATTCTAATTTTTTGAGTTTCACCTGCACTTCTGAATGCACCAGCATTCAGGTTGTAAAGAAGCCATTTTGATCTATACCAGTTTGAATCGCCATTTTTTATTTCCCAGTGATGGGGGGATTCTGGAAGGGAATTAAATTTTTAATTGAACAGCCTTTTGAACACTGTTAGCATCGACCAAATTGCCATTGGTCAATTGCAGTAGGCAGCTTTACTTGGAACAGCTTATTTCTTGTGACGGTACCATTTAATACCAGGAATAATAATAAAAGATGGCAACAATATCTTCTTATCCCACATTATTGGGAAGGACTTGATAGCTAGACAAAAATGCCAAACCCAGTCTACATATTTGGCTGAATATGTTACCAACCATCATATTAATACCCCAGTCACATTGCTTATAGACTTCAAAAGAAGATGCTTCTCCTTTGCTGGACAATCACAATTACAGAAATCAAAGCTTTTTATTGATCTTTAGGGCAATTCCCACTGTTCTCATGTAAAGGAGCTACCAGGCTAAAAACTTCCAGTGAAAACAAGAAGGATTGTTGGATGTTTTTTTTCTGCCTGGTTCAAACTGCTTGGCCTTTTGATATGCTGTGCCTTCTCTATACAATTTCAAGGCTTGTTTTTTGAAGACGTGCCCAAATTGTGTTCTTCACTATCTAAATGTTCAGAACTTGAAAAGCAAATTAATGATAAGAAACGAAGTTTTCCCTAGAGAGTACAGTGTATGCTTTGAAATACCGAAACAATAACAAATGTGTGTTGCTAATACATTTCAAAATATCTGTAGGACAGCCTGCTGCAAAAAAAAAAAACCCATCTCTGACAATCTTTTAAGTGTTATACACAAATAGTAATGAAATACTTGCAAATAATTCCCATGAATAACCCCCCTCCCCTATTTTTGCTTCCCTCCCCCCCACCTCTCTTAGTTGTTGTATCCAGTTAAGTCTTGCAACTGGGACCAGAATTTCTGTTCCAAAGTGAGTTGTGCCTGATTTTATGACCTTTTTGCCATGTTGCAGTTTTTAAATGAGTCATGTAGTCATTAAGCAAATCCAGCTACCCCCATTGACTTACCACTGTAATTGCAGGTTGTAACTTGAGATATGCCCGTAGCATTTGTCGGATGCTAAATCTTAAGAAAGAACGAAAACCAACTGTCCTACTGCCCCATGAAATATAAAGGAAATATTATCAAACTTCAGAACATTTTTTTTTCAGATGCCAAATATGGTTCTAGTGGGAAGGACACCAAAATTACAGAAATGATTGAATTGTTAGCCACAATTTACAGATCAAATTCAATTGGATATCAAGAGCAGGTAAGCGTAAGCAGTTCCTAGATTATTGGACCACAACTTTGATGGAGATATGTCCCAGATTGAAAATAAGCAGTTGTTTCTTGTTTTTCTAGAAATTAATTAGACAGTTTTCTATACTGAAGCATACTTTGCATTATGAATGATTGGTCTCCATCAAAAAATGTACCTATCATTCAGTGCTCATTAAAAGTTTCTGTCCTCACAAACTATTTTAAAGGCAGCTATTTAGAAGTAATGATTGCTCATTAAGTCCCACTTTTACCGCTCTCTTAGATACTGCTGCTGACAGTCTTATTAACTGTGACAAGTATAATAATGGAATGATTTCCTATGATGTCAGTGTGACTTTGAAAAGGGGGCACATTTGATTGCAAAGACTACAGCATTGGTGGTTATTTACAGCTCCTTTTGGGTTGGATGTGGCCTCTTGATTGCAAAAACTCGGGACGTCTTCAACTTATGATTGCTTAGTGAGTTTAGCAGGACAGAATAACAGAGTTGGAAAGTACCTTGGAAATCTTTTAATCCAACCCCTTCTTCAGGCATTTCATATACCATTTCAGACAAGTGGTTATCCAATCTCTTCTTTAAAACTTCCAGTGTTGCAGCACACACAATGTCTGGAGGCAAGTTGTTCCACTGATTAATTGTTCTAACTTTCAGGAAATTTCTCCTTAGTTCTAAGATTGCATCTCTCCTTGATTAGTTTCCATCCATTGCTTCTTGTCCTGCCTTCAGGTGCTTTGGAGAATAGGTTA